ATATATGTTTTAAATATATGTGTTTATAATATAATTAATTAATATTATCTAATAAAAAAATTAATAAAAAAAATTTTTTTTTATCTTTTACTTAATCGCTTTTGATTAAGATCGATAAATATTCGATAAGTAATTAATTCAATAAGTATTAATATTCTTAATACATAGACAATTTCACGAATAATATATGGATATATATATCTTATTATAACTAATATATATTAATACTATAGTATAATATTATTATTGTACTATAATACTAATAGTACTAATAGTAGTATAATATTATAATTATATACTAATACTATAGTATATAATCCTATTATATACTAATATTCTAAGGTATTATTAATTTCTAAAAAATCTACAATTTACAAATATTACAGATATAATTCGAAATATAACATGGAGATATAATTATATCGAAAACTGATCATTCAAATTAAAAATATGTATTATTATACATCATTTTTACTTCGAATTTTTCATGAAATTTAAATTGTACAATATTATATTCAAAAATCTATTCTTAAGTTCAGCATTAAATTGAGGAGAATCATAATTTTTATAATTCTCATTTTCTTTTTTATATTAACTATAATTTTATTTTTTTCATATACAGAATATATTGAAATATTCAATATATTTTTGACTCAAAAGTTCGAAATTAATTTCTTTTAAGAATAAAAAAATTGTTTAATAGTAATTTTTTAAATAAAATAATATAGTATATTTCGATAATTTAAATTTAACTTTAAAATTCAAATAAAACTAGATTTCATAATACTTTTATTCTTAAAATCGTTTATTTTTTCAAGAAATACAATAAAACTTAATAAAGTTTTTTTAGTAGTATTAATTCATTTTTTAATTTAGTTCACTAATATATAATAGAAATTAATATAAAATGTATTATATAATATATAATATTAATATGAAGTTTATAATTATTTTACTTATAAATATTTACACTATTTTTTTTTAATAAAAAAATGAATTTTATCACAATAAAATAAGTGGAAATATAAAATATTTTAATTGAATTTTTTTATTAAAAAATTATTTAAATAAAAATTGAAAAAGTTAAATTAAAAAAGAAATATTTCTATACATACCAATCATTGTATATATTAGAATATATCTGAAAATGATTAATTTATTTTTTATTAATATTTCTTATCAGATATTTTTTTATATAATAAATATTTAAATTTGAAAATTTCTAGTTGTTCTGTGATGTATTCACAAATTTGGTTCTTCATAATAAATTGTTCGAAAAATTGTTTATATTCGAAAGAATTTCTTTTTTAATTAGTTCAAATAATTGAACTGTTGTAATATATTATAATAATTGTATTCTATTGTATTTAACTTTAAATAATTGTGATTTCATTTAATTTTTAATATTATTTTATTATATTAATATTCATTTAATTAAATTGTATATATTTGTAAAATATAAATATTTTATTAAAAAAAAAACAAATTTGAGTTTAATATTGCCATAATTAATAAAGAAAACATAACAAAATTAAATATACATTAATTCAAATATATGCATATACTATTAATAGATGTAATATATATATTATACTATCGTATACTATCAATAATGATTTACGTTTAAAATTATATGTTGTTTCCAATAAATAAATTATGTTAAATAAAATAAATCTATATTTAATTATTTTTCATAACTTCTTTTAATATTTTTCAATAATAATGGGTAAATTATATAATATACAAATAACGTGATATTCATATTAATATATTTATATATACATAATATATATTAACAAAATATGAGATATAGCAAAGTATAAAATAATATTTTTATTTATGTATTCTTTTTTTTTCGCATATTTTTTTATTTCATTGCACATTTTTTGGTCTATATATATAAAAAATATTACACTTACAAAAATAACTTTCAAAATAACTATGTGAAAAAAAATAATGTAATGTAAATAAAATTGAAGGATATGAAAAATATATGTTTATTAAAATTAGTCTTCTCGTATTAGGATTTATAAAGCAACACGCAATAAAATATAGTTCTTGTGGCAGGCATTTGAATAAAATCAATATGATCAGTAGATTAAAACCGTATCAGACAATACAACATATACAACATAGAAATAAAAAAGATATTTGAATCAATTTATAATTTTTTAAGTATTTTTTGAAGTACAAGATCTTATAAAATTTCATAAAATCATAAATTCTCACAATTTTTTAATTAAATATTAAAGTTTAATCAAACGTTCATAAAAATGCTTATGATTTATAATTTGATTATGAATTAAAAAAATATTTCTATACATCTTTGCATAGAACATAACATTTCTAGAACATAATATTTTTAAGCATTATTATTTTAATTATAAAATATATGATTATTTTTACAAGTATTTTTAAAACATTATATTAAAAATTACTTGTTCCTATTATTATTAAATCTATTATTGTACCGCGACCGCTGCACGCCCGAATTTTCATTCTTATGCGAACCGTCGAACGAAGTGTTTATACGAACGAATTAATAAGATAATATAAATTTATTATGAATTTTATAATTTTTTATATTAAATTTTATTATATTATAATCCATATATAATAATAATTAACTATTTTTCATTTGTATTTCATAACTGTGAAAAATATATATAATTTCCAAATATAAAAAAATATTATATAATATAAAATTTAAAATTTTGCATGAAAAATTAAATAAAATAATATTAAAAATATTATAATATTATAAAATATTTAAATATTATAATATGTAAAAATTTTTTAAAATGAATTTGAATATGAATTATAATACATTTTATATATTTGACTATCAGAGATATTATCAAGTATGATAATGCTTAAGGTTTTGAAAATCTTTTTTCATATCTATGTTGTACTATTCTATTTATGTCACTAGAGCTTTCTTAGAGAGTTAAAATATGCTTTATGTTCATCAATATCTTCTATAAGGTTCTTCTTCTTCAGGATGAGCTGCATTATGAACCAAAGCACGTTGTATCGCTACTGGTATTGGTGGTGGTGTTGGTAAATGAGCACCATTTGGTAGAAAACCATTTTCGTCAGCAGTATAAGTAAGCAAAATCGGTGTGCCATCCGGTGCAGTATAACTAAATTGTCCTCGAACTGATTCAATTTGATTCGGTCCAATAAACTTGGGTGTACCTTGTTCTGCTACAGATATGCCATTTTCTGTATCGTAACTATAACAATATACGTAATACAAGAAATATTAATCTTATATAATGTTATATAATTTCAGGATGACTTTTTTTATTTGAAATGAAAATAATATTACATAGAACAATATTAAATAGAACAGCTATATTTCATGAACATCATTCTAACTTTTTTTTCTAACTTTTTTTTTATAATTTTTAATAGAAATCTAATAGAATTTGATGAATAAAGATTAAACCAGTATAAATTGTTATAATTTCGTTTTCATAAAAGAGAAGGATTTTGTTTGAAAGATAGTTATCAGGATTAGAAAATATAAAAAAAATTTTTTTAAATTGAAATGAAATAAATGAAAAAACAAATATTGATTTCAAATAAAATAAAAAATAAATTAATTTAAAATAAAATATTAATTTTTATATAAAAATATTTACAA